CTCTTATCTCAAATTTCCCCCAATTTCAAGTGTTCTTGGCAAAGATCAACAGCAAGCGATGATAGTAAGATCTCAGCTTCAGCGACTGGCCAGAGCAATGTATAGCAGCCCTCCCATTCATGGTGTGTTATTAGTCTCAACAATCTTGAGTGATCCACTTCTGAAAGCTGCATGGATTGAAGAACTGAAGGTAATGGATGAATAATTTTGTAAAACTTCTTGATTGATTCCTTGGAGGATACTGATTCTGATGTGCTTTTGATCCTCCTGCATTTTTAAGGTCATGGCTGATCGCATTCGGTCTATGAGAGCTAGTTTATTTGATAACCTTGAGAAATTGAATTCTCCTCTAAATTGGGACCACGTAGTCAAGCAGGTCAGTTATGAGTTTGATATTACAATTTTGTCCAAGTTACATTTCTATTCCTTAATATCCATGTTCTTAGAAGTCTTGTTATCATTGCATTCTAAAGTGTGATCTCGTTGACCCATATGCCATTACATTAAAATAAGACGATATCATAAAAATTCATCTGTCACATTCTGGGTTTTTTCATTACAATGATGGTAGTACATGGAGATTTGAACCCTCAACCTTAAGGAAAAGTGTGAGAGTCCCACATTGGTTGGGGAGGAGAACGAAACACTCTTTATAAGTGTGGAAAATTTTCCCTAGTATACGTGTTTTAAAGTCTTGAGGGGAAGCCCGAAAGGGAAAGCCCAAAGAGGACTATATCTGCTAGCGGTGGGCTTGGGTTTGGGCTTGGGCTTGGTCCGTTATAAATGGTATCAGAGCCAGATATCGGACGATGTGTCAGCGATGAGGCTATTTTTCGAAGGGGGCTAGACACGAGGCGGTGTGTCAATAAGGATGCTGGCCCCGAAAGGGGTGAATTTGGTGGGAGTCCCACATTGATCGGAGAAATAAACGAGTGCCAACGAGGACGTTGGGTCCCAAAGGGAGGTGGATTGTGAGAATCCCACGTTGGTTGGAGAGAACAACGAAACACCCTTTATAAGGATGTGAAAACTTTTCATTAGCGGTAGGCTTGGTTCATTATAAAAAGAGTTCGTGCTAACTGAGTTATGCTAATCTTGGTGTCATGTTCTAGATTTTTGTTTCATTGGTTTACAAGATGATATTGAGAGATCATATGAGCATATTGTTCAAAACTATTGAAACATGATACTGTTCAAGATGTTTAATATTTATGTATTGACATTATTGTAACATGATGTAGGTTGGAATGTTTTGCTATTCTGGATTGAACTGCGAGCAGATTGATCAGCTGGCGACAGATTTTCATATATACATGACCCGAGATGGACGTATGAGGTACCTCTAACAACATTACTAAACTAAAAAAACATCATTTTCGTCCTTATACTTTGAATTTTATTCAATTTTAATCGGTATCTTCATATAATATAATGTAAATATGTTTCTAAAATTTATATAAGAAAGGTAATAGAAACTCATTATTTTTTAAAAAATTAATAGGGACTAAATTAGAAATTTGATAGTAGAATTAAAATAGAAAAGTTTCGAATATGTGGACCAAAATAGTATTTTAACGAAAAAAAAAACAAAAACCAAATATCCACTTACGATTGTGATTTTTGGGGCAGCATGGCAGGTGTGACGACCAGAAATGTAAGTTATATAGCGAGTGCAATGCATCAAGTGAGTAATTACGATCCAGAGTCTTTAAATGTCTCCAATGTTAGATTCTAGTGGCTTCAACTTAAGAATAGTTCAATTGATTAGGTTTAGTGTTTTACTATAGTTCAATTGATTAGGTTTAGTGTTTTACTATTCAAATCTTCCTATTCTCAGTTGTATAGCTCAGCCAATCAAACAATCACACGTCTTCAATGATATTTATTTTTAAAAAATCAAATTTAAAAAATAAAAACAAAACATATAAAAGATATTCATATAATTAACCTATTATTAAATTTACATTATAATTTTTAATTAAAAAAAACGTAAAATTGAAATGTAATAAAAATAATGAAGAGGTTGATGTAGTTAAAGTGTGTGGGACCAAAATAAAGTTAAGAGATGGAAGGAATATATGATATTATGAGCATAAATGAATGCCTGATAAGACGTGCGGTGGGTCCTGCCTCCTCAAATTTATCAACCATACCAACTAATTTAATTTACCAAATTCAAAAATTCATTCTTATAATATATTTATAAATCATCAAATTATTTACATTATTACCCCTAAATATTAGGTTTAGTATAATTAATTATTATTAATTCAATTATGAACCCAATTCAAGGGAAAGTATGAAACGGATGACCGGAGGCCACTGAAGTGATTATAGCTTGCAAGTTTTAGACAGAATTTTTAAAGAAAATTTGAGCTAAAAAATAGAAATTCTATTTTTTTTTTGTTCCAAGATGCGAGGTCTCTAATTAAAGAAAAGAAGGCTTAATATATAGTTATTCATACTCTTAACCTATGTGCCACATAACTCACAAATGAGTAATACTCATACAAGCAAACAAATATTAAAATTATAATTAAATAGTGTAATTAATGAAAGGTGTAGTTACTAAATTTAGCTGAGTTCATTAAATGCAATATAAAATACATTTAATGCATTTTTTTTTCTTGAACCTCAACTTTACACAACATTTAAGAGAGGTCTCTAACGTCTTCAGCTTGAATATCAGTATATTAGGTTTATTGTAACTTCTTGACTCTTGTCCTTATAATTGGACCTTGAGGTATGAAAATTCCTTGGTCATGGTTCATACCAGAACGTGTTTAGTAAAAAATCGTATATAATTATTATTTTATAATATAATATAATATATATTATATGTAAATCAACCAGAAGTACTATATTTTAAAGCATAAATATACTTTTAAAATTTAAAATATGGTTTTCAGTTTATCATCTTAAAGTCATTTTTGGATAATCCACCTTGGATGTTTTTTTAAAAAAAAAAAATAATTAAAACTTTTTTTTTTTTTTTTTTACCGTTTCTTATTTATTAGAATTTAAGGTCAAAATATTAATTTGATCCCTATATTTTAGATCATATTCTAGAACAAATTTAGTAAATTAGTAAATAATAATAATTAATTTGATTAAAATTAGTAAATAATAATAATTTTCAGATAAAAAAGAAAAATTGTGAACCAATAAAGATAATGCTATTATTTAAAAAATTATTCTAAAATATATTGAAAGTACACCAATTAAAATTTTAAATTTGAAAGCACATGGAATCTAAAATCAGTTTGTAAGCTTTAAGTTATTAATTTTTTTCTAATTAAAATTTTCTACCATATTGACATAAATAGTATTTAATTAAAATATTGGATATTGAAAATTTAGAAAGGATCAATTTGTAATTAAATATGTTGATGGTAACATATACCTATTTTCTTGATTTACATCAAATAATATAGGAAGAATCTTTGTATGAATCTATTTATTATCGCATCTCAAAAAATCGAAGAATTAAAAGCTTATAAAAAATTTAAATCTTAAATAAGCGACACGTGGGTCCTATATTGATTGAAGAGGGTAACAAACAAACATTTTTTTATAAGGATATGAAAATCTCTCCCTAGTAGACTCGTTATAAAAATATGAGGCTGACGATAATATATAACGAATCAAATGAGATAATAGCTAACAACGGTGGACTTGAGTTATTACATAACTATGATTTGAGTGATAAAAGTAGTGCGTTAATATGAATATTATTTTAATTAATTGTCGAGAAAATATTTAATAAAATAAATAGTTAGTCCTTTGAGTAGCTTTGGTGCCACTTTTTTGTTCTTGGGTTTTTATTTTCTTATTTATTTATTTTTACTTATTTTTAGTTTGCTTTTGTTTTGCTTCACTCAAATTCTAAGCTTTCGCCTTTTCTTATTTTATAATTTTTCTATCATATTATTTGTCTCATTTTTGTAGTTATTAGCTTTTTTTTTTCTTTTTTTTTTCAAAACAAAAAAGGGTTTATGAGGAAAAAAAAATGCTTTGACCATTTTATTTCGGAGAAATTTAAAATTTTAAGAATATATAATTCAACGATCATGTTTTTCCAAAGCATGTTGTTTATGGCCGCATGACAGATGTCCTAGTCTTGCTTGCTCGGGTTGGTTGACAGGGACGTCGACCAATTGAGTGGAAGAGGATGTTACGGTCATGCATGTCCAAGGCGTGTTGTCAATGGCCACATGACAGATATCCCGGGTTTGCTTGTCCAGGACATGTTGTCCATGGTTGCATGCTCGTTCCAAATCCTTTTTACATGCTTTCATCTTAAATATGTCTTTACCATTTCTTATTGGGTCAGTATGAGGGTGTATGACGGTTCACCAAAATCGTGTCTACACCTGCAAGGGCTAAAATGTCCCAAAATGTACTATATGAGAATATGACTAGTTGTCAACTTCTTCTTACCCGATAGTTATATGCAATAAGCTGTTATTGTTGCCATTTTGCTTACATTCTAATATAACATCATTTCCAATTTCTCAAATCTTGCTTTCAAAACTCACTTTGAAATCTCTCTGCCCGTTTTTCTAAAACTTTCTTCTTAAACCAGGGCAGAGATTTGATTTGAAGTAGGCGACCCAAGAACAATTGATATCTATTTTTTTAGATAAAAAAAATGTAGAGTCAAAATAATTTAGAATTTAGATTATATTAATGATAATTATTTTTTAAAACTTTTTATATGAGGTGAAAAATATTAATGTAGCAAAATATACATTTTTATTTAATTTTTTTAAAATATTAATGAAATTTTTTTGAAAGTTAAAAAAAAAAATTTTAATTATTTCCATATTAATAGTATTTTTAAAAAATTAAGTCAATTTTTTATAATTTAGTTCTTTTTTCACTCGGAAAGAATCTCCCACTCACCAACTAATAGTAGCAGGTAAGTTTTATCCATGGTAAAAGTAAAAGTAAAAAAGATTTACAAGGGAAAAAATATTTATAATAAAAAATAATTAGTCTTAAAAAAGATGATTAGATAAACTTTATTATTATTATTATTATTATTTTTACAAATTTTCAACCAATCCCTTTGGACTTATCGATACCATACACCAAATGAACATAACAATTATTCTAAAGATTTACTCCGATTAAGATTCCGATTCCGATTCCGATTCAGATTCTGAACCAGTGAAGTTTGTCAATCTCACCGCCGCTCATCTACCGATTCCGAAACAAAGCACTGAGCCGGAGGCCGCCGCATCCTCTCCCTCCTTCGAACGCGAGACTCCGAGCGCAAACCGCCGCACCGACGGCCGAATCGAACGTCGATCCGGAAGACGGCAATGACGCCGATTTGGAAACCGGCGGCGTCAATAGATCGAGTTTCCTCTTGTGATTGAAGAAGATATGGAAAAGAGAGAGCGATTTGGAGCGGTTTTTTGGCGGTTTTTGAAGAGAATGAGAAAAGTAAGAAGGAGGAGGAGTGAGAGGAGGAGTTAGATCATCGGAAAATCGGTGAAGAGGCGTACCTGGCTGAGACTCCCAAACGAAAGGAACAGCACCGGCCAATCCGCCATAGTAGATTCTGGAAGAGTGATTGGCTCTGGAACTTTCTCTGGTGAGAAGCTTGGAGAAGAATTTGTCGTTGTGCTTGAATTGAAGCGATTTTGGAGGATAATCGGAGGTTTCACAGAGCATAATTGTAAGTTTTCTGAAACGGAATCTCTGAAATTGCGATCTGATCTCTGCGTGTTCTGTTGAGGGAGGCCATTGTTTAGGGTCCCCTCAACTCTGTATATATGTGCCTCTCTACACGCCCTGTGGTCCCCATTCCAAAAAGCCCCTTTTTCTTTTTTTCTTTTTTGTTGGTAAGTTTATATAAATAATTTAAATTACAAAAAAAAAAAAAAAAAATACTCTTCGGATCTAAATTATTTGTTTTTTTTTTTTTCAATTTCATTTTATATATCTAAAATGATAAACTTATTTTTGTTGCACCAAATTCTATTAATTAATATTTGGAAAATAAATTAAATTAAAAATATTAAATTTGAGAATTTAAATAATAATAATATACTAAATAAATTATTAATGACATTATTCCAAAGTTTTTGAGTTTGAAGACATTATAGTCAAAAATAGAAAATACTTCTTTCGATATAAAAATTAATGTATCGAGTAATTTTTTTTAAAGTCTCTATTTATTATTATCGACTTATTTAGTAAGAATTATCTAAATTAATTCAAAACCATAATTTAGAATTATATTCATATAATTAATCTTATAATAGAATTACACAGATAAATAAATAAATATATATAATATAATTCAATAATTATATGGAATTATCAGTATTTAAAATAATAATTTATATTTCATGAGTGACTTAATAATTTTTTAATTGATTGACCAAGATCAATAATAATATTTGAAATATGCTGACATTTTTAGTTTTGTAGTTGAAAAGTAGGTAAATAATATATATAATTTTTATATTAATTAGTTGAAGGATTAAAAAACTCAACCAACTTTAAAATTATTATCAATATAAAACAAAATCAGATCTGTTTCAACACTTAAAACTTTAAATATAAAATAACTTTTATTTTCATTTAAACCCAAATATTTTTATTCGCCTAATTATAAATTCTAGAAAAATATAATTATTTTATTATTTTCATTTTTATTTAACTAATTTATAACCGTGCGAAAGCTAACCGAAAATAATATAATTATATTAGATAGTTATCGTAGTTAGGATAATCTAGATGAACTTCTGTATAGCGCTTCATTATCAAAATATTAACACGATTATATTACCTATTAGCACGTTCAATTGTTACTTGTCTGTCATATCAACTCATTTAACTTGATTTTATATAGCACGATAATCCACTTAAAACATCTATTTACTTTCTAAATAGTTATAAATTATTTAACGACCGACAAAAATAATAAAAAATAAAATAAAAATATACATAAACCAAATTTTAATTTGGGGTTATTTAGTTCCTCCCCTAAGCAAATTCATTAACTACTTCCATCTATAGAAATTTTATTTATTTGGACGAACTAAATTAAAATAAATTCATAATTTAATTAAAACAATATAAATTTAATTGGGTTGATCTAATTTTTTCAACGCCTTAATTTTATAAATGAATTTCAATTATCAATTTCTATGCATAATTAGATAATTACAAATAATTTTTTTAATTAAAATTATTTAATACAAATTTAAAAATAGTACACCATTCGAATAACTTTTAATTATGTATTATTATTATTATTATTATTTTATTATTATCATTTGGTTTATTAGATTTATTTAACTTATGAAAATAATATTTAATAATTTGTTCCAATTCTCTCAAAAAAAGGGTGATTGAGTTATTTTTGTTGATGATATTCGCAACGGTCGCATTATGAATTATGGGAATGTTTGAAATTTTGAAGAAAAAACCCGACAAGATCTTTGGGAATCAACCTTATCTTTTTAAATTGGGCCGACACGTTTTATTAACTAAAGGCCCATTAACTTCCATTTCAATGCTTGCTTTGTATACTGGGCCAGCCCAAATTCTAAGTAGATTGCAACTCTTTTGGGCTCTGACTGCGTCATTGTGGCCATTAATGTATATTTAATAAAATTTTTAATTTTTAATTCTATGCTAAAAATAGGCTCCTCACAAATTCATAGTTTTAAACAATTATTTGATTTATCGGATATAAATTTTAATTTTATGTATGTGAATTAAAAAAAAAATGAAAATTTAAAGACTAAATATGCCATTAACAAAATAACAATAATATATATATAAATAAACTTATGAATGTTCGTGTGTTTCATTCTAATCAGTTGGAGAGTAAAACGAAACATTTTTTTTGAGGGTGTGGAAATATATTACAAGTGGTATCAAGTTCGGTCACTAGATGTTGGGCTCTAATAAATGGTATTAAGTCGAGTCACCAGATGGTGTGAGACATTGGTTGGAGTAGAGCGGGACCTTCTCTACTAGGTCAAATTACTAGATGTTGAGTTGTTACAAATAATATCAGATTCAATCACTAGATAGATGGTGCAAGACACTAATCAGAGTAGGGTGAGACCTTATACCATATCAGGTTTAGTCACTCGATACTAGTCTGTTACAAATGATATCAGAGTTGTTACAAGTGATATCAAGTACATTCACAAGGCGGTGGGGGGCACTGATCATAGTAGGGTTGGACATTCTCCCATATCAGGTCAGTCACATGATGTTGAGTTGTTACAAATGATATCAGGTTCAGTCATCGGACGATGTAAGACATTGATCAGAGTAGAGAGAGACCTTCAACGTATTAGGTACAGACACTTCAACAAAATGATATTTGGTCCATTCACTAGATTGTGCGAAGCACCAATCGAAATAGAGCGGGACCTTCTCCAGTATCAAGTCTAGTCACTAGACGCTCGGCTGTTACAAATAATATCAGGTCCAATCACACTCGACACCCAAAAATTTTAGTAGGTGGATTTTCAATCACGTGAAAATGGAACTAATTGGAAAAAGGAAAATAAAAACAGCAAAATTGTAAAGAAAAGAAATTGAGAGAGAGAGAGAGAGAGGTCGACCATTTCGTTTTCCGTCTCTCTCGTCTCGCTCTGCAAAAGGACTGTACACACTGCACCGTACTTTCGTCTCTGTACCTGCTTCTTATGCTTTTCTCTCTGCCTTCCCTCTTCTTCAAAAATCAAACCAGACGCCATTCCTTCGTCCTTCCCTCCATTTATTCCTCTTCATTTCACCATAAACCAAGAGTTTGGAGCTCTGCTTTCAATGCTGCATCATCTTGCCTTCCTAAGGTATTCTCCGTTTTTAGAATGTAGGTAGTTTTGCAGCAGCAGCAGAAGAAGTCTACTCAAAGTTTCATCCCGGGGTGCAGATTTGAGAGCAGTGAGATTCTTGTGTTAGGGAAGTGGAATGGGGAAAACCGGTGACGGCGGCGATATGGAGAACGACGGTGGGGTTAGGGCGGAGATTGATACTACGGCGCCGTTCGAATCGGTGAAAGAGGCGGTCAGTAGGTTTGGTGGAAGCGGCTTTTGGAAACCCTCTCACAGTCAAGGTCACAGTCACAGCCACAGTCACAGCCAGCCATCCGAACATGAGGTTTCTTCCTTCCACCTCTGAATGTAGATTTTGTTTAGGGAAAACGATGTCGTTTATTTTTGAATTCTCTGAACTCTAGTTAAATAGACAATTTCGATCAAGAGCTTGTGTTAGAAATATCTCTGCAAATTTTGGCATTGATATGTTTAGTGGCTTTTCTTGTTTTTTTGTTGTTGGTTTATTTTTGTTGTATCCTGTAGGTATTGATTCGAGCTATTTATATGTTTTTTGGCCTGTTTGCAGATAGGATGAAACTAGAGCCCTCATTTCAAGTTTTTGTTTTCAATTTCAATTTCAGCTATGAAACTAGATGGTTCAGAGTTGGTTGGGTTTAGCTTTGAAGAATGAACTCATGTTTGTTCCTCGGGTTTGTCAAGCTTGGAGTCTATTGGATAAATCCATGAGTTTCGATACTTTCTCACCCCCAAATTCACCTCTGACATGGTTTTCTTAAGCCTATGCTGCCTCAACTTAGACTCAAAGCATAGGTTTCATAACACTAAGTTTTCAGAACCCTCCAAGTGTTAACATTTTCAAGCCTAAGATGCCAAACAGACACTCTTATGGGTGTTTGAGCTGAGAGTTTGGGCTTTGTTGAGTTTCATATTGGCTTAAGAAACTCAACTCATGTTTGTCTCGGGCATTTGTCGAGCCTTGAGTTAGTTGAACAAATCTATAAGTTTCTGCACTTCCTAAATCTACTCCCTTACATGATTTTCCTTAGGATTCCCTAAACTAGGTTTGAAAACCTAGGCTTCTTAATCCCTCTATTGTTTCTCTTAAGTTGCCAGATGTCATGGTCATACTTGTCTAAGGCGTGTTGTTGCCCATGATCGCATGCCAAAACTCTTGCCTTGTATCACTTTATTGCTTTCCTTTAATGCTTTCATGATGTATTTTCTAAGTTTTTGACGTTTCGGCAAAATCATGTCTACAACGGGTAGACATGAAATACCCCAGAATGTAATATAGGGGGGTGTGACCAGTCGTCAACTCCTCCTACCTAGATTTTGTATGACCATTTGACGATATCACTTCTAGGCCTGCCAAACTTGAATTGCCTCAAAATGTACTATATGGGGATGCGTCTGGTCAAATTCTCCTTATCCTGAAAGTTATATACTATTCAAGCCATTGTGTTGCCTTTTGCTTCTAGTTATATAACGTTGCGTTCAATCTTTCTTTCAACTTTGCCTTCAAATCCCAATTTCGAAAATTTCTCTGCCCCGTTTTCTAAACCTTCTTCTCAAAAAGGGGTCAGAGGCTTGAGCATACGTTGCCCTTCTATAGGCGACGCGATCTCAAATTGGCTTGAGTCACTCAGTATTGGGAGTGAATGACGCCAATCATAAAAGTCCGCTGCTAAGAAAAGTATGATTGTGACACTAGGGTTATTCTTACTAATTTAGAATTAACTGGACCATGACTTGTTTGCTAATCAATCTGGTATGTCTTCTTTTTTCTTCTTCATCATTAGCATGATAAGGACGAGGTCGACATTGACATTACAATACTGGAGAAGCAGGCAAAGAACATGGAGAGTGAATTGATTGTCAAGGAAAGGGAGACCCTGGAAGTCTTAAAAGAACTCGAAGCGACCAAGAAGATTGTGGAAGATTTGAAACAGAAGCTGCAGAAAGAAGCATTTGAAGTTAGTGCGACTCGGGAAGCGACGAGAGGTGATATGAATGTAACTGCTGCTAAAGAAGCAGTTAACGAAAACGTCGGGCCCGTCGGTCAAGGTCAGAATGTGCAAATATCCCCTCCAGCACCTGGTTTAATTCTTATGGAACTGGAACAGGCCAAGCTAAATCTTACTAGGACGACTGGTGAAATTGCTGATATTCGAGCTTCTGTTGAATATTTTAACAAGAAATTAGAGAAAGAAAGAACTGGACTCGAGAAAACTCGAGAGAGGTTAGCTCAGAATTCGTCTAATATATCTGCCCTTGAGGAAGAGCTAAACCAAACAAAACTGAAGTTACAAGTGCTAAAAGATGCTGAGGCAGAAGGGTTTCCAGATAACCCTCTAGAGAATTCCAAGGAGCTGCAAGAATTATGTTCCGAGGCCGAAAAGTTTAAGAAAATGAGGGAAGTAGCCACACTAGAAGTTTCAAGAACAGAATTTGAGATTGAACAGAACAAGGCCATGCTAAAAACAGCTCAAGTCAAGTTGGTTGCAGCCAGGAAAATGAAGGAAGCTGCTAGAGCAGCAGAAGCTGTTGCCCTCTCTGATATCATAATCTTGACAAAGCACGGCAATCCATCGAGTGATTTTTCACTAACTCGTGGAGACGAAAGCGTAACTCTTTCGTCGGAGGAATATTCTACTCTTACTCTTACAGCTTGTGAAGCTAAAGAACAATGCAGAAAGAGAGTTACAGACATGATGCAACTAGTTGAAGCTGCTAACGCATCAAAAATGGACATCTTGAATCAGGCAGAGAAAGCTTCTGAAGAACTCGAAACGAGTAAAAGGGTATTGGAAGCCGCTATGAGCAGGGTGGATGATGCAAATCAGGGAAAGCTAGCAGTCGAAGAAGCGCTTCGCAAATGGAGGTCAGAGCACAGTCAGAAACGGCGTACGGTTCAAAGCTCTACCAAGTTTAAGAATGCTTGTCCTTCTCACTTCAAAAGAGATTCTAGGATACTTGATGTGAATGAAGTAAGCATGGTCAGTGATGAACCAACGCCTGTCTTGAAGCCAACTCTTTCAATAGGACAGATACTAAGCAGGAAGCTACTACCTCCCGACGAATTCGAAACACCAACTCTCCCTGAGAAAAGCTCAGTTAAGAGAAAGATGTCACTTGGTCAGATGCTCAGCAAACAAAGTGGTGATGTTTCCTCCTTAAAGAAGGCTGAAAATAGTCAGAAGCAGACATTTGGAAAACGAAAGAAGTCGGGATTCGCTCGGTTTACTCTGCTGTTGGCGAAACGGAGTAAAAGGAAGAAGAAAGCTGCAGTTGTTAAGAAGTAACCAGCTAGTTTAGTCTAACTCTGATCTCTCATCATCCATAGCTGGTCTCTGGGTACTTTCTCTTGTATCTTCTCTCCCCTTGTTAGGTCTTACTTTAGGATGTTGTTTATATTTTGGATAGTTTGTAGATGGCTGTGCCTTATATATTTTGTATGTGTTCTTACTTCTTGTTCTTGATCCTTAAGGATTGTTGTTACCTCAGTGCAAAGATCATAGAGTTTTTACCATTTCAGCTTTGTTGATGGGATATTACAATGGTGTGGAGGCTTTTTCCTAACCCATGTATTTTAAAATTTTGAGCGGAAGTTTGGAAGAGAAAGCCGATAAAGGACAATGCTTGCTAGCATAAATGGTATTTAGAGTCAGACACCAGTGTGCCAGTGAGAATGTTGGGTTCCGAAAGAGGGAGTGGATTATGACATCCCACATCGATTAGAGAGAGGAATGAGTACCAGAGAGGACGTTGGGACTTGAAGAAGGGTGAATTGTGAGATCACACATTGGTTGGAGAAGGGAACGAAACATCCGTTATATAAGTGTGAAAATCTTTTCCTATCAAATGCATTTTGAGGGGAAACTCGAAAGAGCCAACATCAGTTGAAGAGGGAAACGAAACGTTCATTATCAGTGTGGAAATCTCTCTCTATCAAATGCGTTTTAAAATCTAAAGGCTAAAGAAGAACCCAACAAGGTTAAATAATTTTCATAGTTAAAATTATTTGTGAAAATTATTTTATAATTTAATATTCTAAAAAAAAAAAAGATGGATGACTTTTAGATTCTCAAAACTGGATTCAATCTGAAACTATAAATTAGGAATTGCAAAGAGCCATCTTGAATAGAATGCTCCGAGTTTCAACCCAACATTAGAGGAATCAATCCTATCGTCTCTTGCGGGCGCTTCTGAACAGGGAAGCAGAGCCTGGCTGTCTAAGCGAGGTATGTATTTCTCTGCAATTTGATTTATCTTCTATTGGTAATCGACAATTCTTTATCCTGCGCGCTGAGAAATCGTGTGCAGAAGAAGATTTTACGATCATCGGTGGTTCAAATTTCAGAGAATCGATATCTTTATATTCGTTTTCTTGGGATTTTTTCTTCTCCCCGCTCTTTCTCTGCTTCTCTTAACTTTAGCCCCTGCATATGATCGGCGTATGGCTTTTATAACCCTCTGTCGCTTGTTCTATTTGTAATTTGTCCTTATTTCATTGGCGTCTGTATGCAATGTCTTTTAATTTCATTGTCGCTGTTCGTCAGTAGATTCAATGTTTTGGTTGGATAGAAATCCTTAAATGAATTCAGAAACGTTGACTGTAAAATCACCATCGGTTCATTTTTTTCGTTTTCTTTACAGGAATTAGGCGCTATGGATTTGAGGTTTGGAATTGTTTTCTTTCTTGTGGTGGGTGCTGCTTGGGATTGTGATGCTAGAAACCTGGCTTCATTTGGTAATTCCTTTTTGCTTACTTTTTCACTATCAGATGGCAATTTGATCAATGTTTCTGGTTGTTGCTTAGAATTGGCAAAGGACATGTTTCAATTTCGGCTCTGATCTTATTGCAACCTCAATTTCATCGCGTCAAGTCCTCATCGTCACTGATGAAAATTGTTGTGCAAAATATGGAAAATTAAGGATATTTTGCCTTGAAGTTTAATGAATTGAAAATTTATGTAACAACAAGAAGTCATTTCTGGGTGGGGAGAGTTACTTACTATGGGTCAAATCACAAGAAGTGAGTAAGCTTTTGTTTAATTTGGTGGATCTGTCTATTTCATCAATTTAAATTTAAGAAATTGAGAATTTCCAACTCAATGAACAAAATCTATTTTATGCCATATCATTTTCTCCATAATTTTAATGTGATGGCAAATCTGTGATCGAAAAACTAATACATAAAGGATGAAGTTGAAACTTTTAAAAGCTTTGGAACAGAATTATAAGATAGTCTAAACTCTAGAGACTAAATGATGTATAATTCAATGGTTCTGGTTATGTATCCTGATTTCCGGTCCTTTTACGAGTACTTGTCTTTTAGAATTCCATCAAATATAAGCATCGCGTGAAGATGATTTTCATTTTGAAAACGCATTCAATATGCTGTTTCGAATGATATTTTATCGCCCCAGAGTAGTTACCATTTCTTCCTTTTCAGATTCTGAGTTAAGCTACCTGAAGCAAGGGAAGGACGTTGAGGCTTTATCTGAAGCTTCCAGCAAGCCAAAGGTTTGTGAACTTTGTGAGAGCTTGGTCAGTCAGGCAGTTGAGTATCTTGCAGAAAACCAGACCCAGAGTGAGATTATTCGTATTCTCCGACAAACCTGTGCCGTGGTGGGTTTGTTCAAGGAGGAGGTATGACTGCACGTTACTCATACAGCTTTTTATTACATGAATCGGCATAAGCGTGCTTTTGAAAATGAAGAAAACCTTTATCGATTTCTAGCCAATTAATATTATGTTATCCTTGAATCAACTTTCAGTGCGTCAGTCTGGTAGACAGCTATGTTCCTCTCTTCTTCTCAGAGGCTTCCTCAATTGAACCTGCTAGCATCTGCCAGTCGGTCCGATTCTGTGAGCAAGTTACAGTAATCTCCTCGCAGATTCAGGAACATAGCTGTGAATTCTGTCATCAGACCATTTCAAAAATATTGGATAAGTTGAAAGATCCTGACACACAGGTTTGATATTACACATTCTGCTAGATATGCTTACAATGAACGTCTATTATGGTGTTTGAAAAAACATAGATGGAGAAAATCTGCAACTTGAAAATAGTGATTGTAATATGCACAAGGGTAATTGAATTACTTATATGTATTCATGGTAGTGTCAAAATTTACCACAAGTTCTATAGTTGTTAATAAACATATGTATATATATATATATATACACATCTCTGGAGGATGGTAGTTTCTTAATTTTTTTTTTTTTTGTTTGTGAACGTGTTGCATTCTCTTGGCTATGAACTAGGGGGATGATGTCTTGTGTACTGAACCTTCGAAACATACTGCTTTGCTTTCTGTGTAACAGGTAGAGATACTCCAGGCGCTTCTGAATATATGCGACTCTTTGGGGAAACGTGCAAAAGAGGTATAGAGAAATTTTGATGTCAATGCTTACAGTATTTTATGGTTATTCTGTTTGAGAATAGTAAAAAGCAAATATGGTTCATGTCTCTATGTCTATTCCCCCATCTTTATCAATTTCCAAGTTCCGAAATCATTTGAAAGAATGTCTTTCTTTTACATTTATGTATCCTATGTATTGTCGTCAGCCTCACGGTTTTAACATGCATCTACTAGGAAGAGGTTTTCACACCCTAATAAGAAATGCTTTTTTTCCCTCTTCAACCGATATGGATCTCACAATATTAGTTAAGGAAAAGAGGATGATTGGGAAAAGGCGCTAAAGCATGTGCCTTAGTGAAGGCGTCTTGCTTCTTTGAAGTGAGGCTCAGTAGGTGGGCTTTGCCCAAACATGCTTTTTAATTGCTCAGGTAAGATCTATTAAACACAAAATTAATAGTTTAATATTTTATTTATACCCAAACATATAGATTCATTAATTAAAAGAATATACATGGTTCAATAACATTTTTAACCACTTTAAAGTTCATGTAAAATTGTAAGTTCCTAACCTATTAGTTACTTTCAAAAAGTCAGAGAACCATTAGACCATATTAAGCCTTCCACGAGGAAGGTTTGAACGTAGGACTCCTGATATTATTTCTAAATATCCCCAAATCTTTACCTTCAGCTTTCCATTATTATATATATATATATGTGTGTATGTATGTATGTATATATTAGGTTATTGTTAGTAGAAACTAGCTTTATCACTGTGATTCTCTCTTCCAATCATGCTTACAATTTCTCACACAAACTATCACCCAAAGAACCATATCATTTAACCCATCAATAATTGACATGAGACAATCGACTCCAACTGCATGTCAATCAATGATCAATATGTTACTCTAACATTGCGACATTTTCCATCGTCGAGCAGTGCAAGAAATTGGTATTTGAATATGGGCCTCTGATCCTAGCCAACTCGGAGAAAATCCTAGAACAAACAGATATTTGCAAAGCAATTCATTCTTGTCCGGGCATAGCTGGTGATGACAAGGCCATATCATCTGTTGGAACTGTGTCTTCGCTTGCCGACGCTTGAACTCGCACACCAAACACAATGGGGGATCTACATGTCATGTCAGAACGAAAACGGGTAAGAAAGTTACTTTTTCTTTGCCCCTCTCTGTCTTATTGTGAATCTAATATGATTCAATCTTTTCCCATGGACGGTCTGTGTTATCATGTACATTGATATGTGGATATGTATGATTGGCTGTTGACTGTTGCAATATTGAGTAAAGAATCATTCTACTTTGATTGAATGATTAAGTGTATTGAATCTTCCGAAGTCTTGTCTAAGCCCTGGAATTTTGATGCTTTGCTTGAATTGGAAGTTGATGTTCTCTTGCTTTTTAACCCTTGTGGTTTGCTGTCATTTAGCTGTTTGAACTTTGGATTAGGGGAATAAATAATAATGTGAGATGATGAGGAAAAGGCAATAATTAAAGATAGTGTTGTCGGCTGCTCGGGCTCCGCGTTTCAAGTTTGTTATCCTAACCGTCTCCTCTGCTCCACTAGGAGCCTGACCCTTTCTTTGATCCTATATACAACTTAGCTCCTCAACTCTCTATAGCTTTAGCCGCTCGGTGTAATAGCTTGTTTCTCGGGTGACTCGCACCTCGGGTTGTGCGACTGAGTCGGATGGATCCTGACCTTTATGTTGGGTGCTTAGTATATTTTGATATTAGTTTGTTAGATAAAAAGTATGTGTTAGGATAAAATGATGTAAAATTATTATTTTTATTTGATGAATTTAATTTTAAAGTTGAATAAATTAAATTTATGGCTCAATTTATATTTACATAAATAAATAATTTAATCAACCTCTATAAGCCACGCAATTCTTAGAAAACTTGCCGTGGAGGGTATTGAAGTAAAGTGACCATTCTAAAGACGCCACCCAAAAAACAACCTAAAAAAGTGACGCGTGTGGCTGGAACTGGAGCGGCGGCTGTTACCGAATGCGACGGCGATGCGGTGGGCAGCCCGATCGAACTTGGATGCATCACTGTCCTACTTGTCGTTCCGTGATTGGTGCGGGTCAGGGAGTTAGGTGACAGCCGTTGTTAGCCAATCAAGTACGTAGACCACACTCTCGTATCTTCTTTGCCAAGTATTTAGCCTCTCCATTTTATACTCTAATTTTTGTTATTAATTAATATTTAATGTTGTTAAACCCATATAAATTTTCAATTATTATAACAATAAATTAAAATATTACTCAATAAATTATAAATTTAAATCTTNAAAAAAAAAAAAAAAAAAAAACTTACTAACTTCATTGTGTTTAAATTGATAATTTTTGTTTCTATTTTAATAATATTTAATTAATCTTATATATTAAATTATTTTCACAATTTGATAATTATTTTAGCTGTTAACTAAAAAGTACTTATATCTAATATTTTTCAAAATTATTTTAAACTATAAATTTGTATGGCTGTCCAAAAATGATTTTATCAATTATAAATATATAACTTTTATTTATTATCACAAATTTTGAGAATTTTCAATTCTTTATTAAGATTTTTAGAAAGAATTTGAATTCTCTAGATATACTTTAAATTATCTTTTTTAAATGTAAAAATAAAATTTAATTAATTAGTATTTGTTTCTAAAATTATTCCAGAGAAAATAATAATTTTTCTTAATTTTTCCGTTGGAAGTACAGAAATGTGTATTAATTTTTTCCATGTAAAGATTTAAACGTCATCACCGCCACAGAATTCAAATAATGAAGGAAATGGCAGAATCTGTAATTTGGTGAACATTAGAGGGCCTTTCGGTAAATTTGAAAAGATATTCGACGGTTTTGGTATCTTCCGGAGGACCTCAGTCCTTAAAATGGAGAGAGAGCGAGCGGCCAAATCCAATTTGTAGTTGCGTTCAGGGTTCGGGTTTTCGAGATTTCGCTGAAGCTCCATTGCGTACATTCTCAATCTTCTAGCTGTTTTGCAGCTAATTTCATCAGATTCTTCTCGATTCCTCTTCGATTTCTTGGTAAGCCAATGGAATTCTTGTTCATTTTTTTACGCTGTAATTAGATGATTTTCTAATTTTGGTGTCGATTTTCTCTTTGTTCATTTAGTTACTAGGCACTGAGCTCTGATTTTCGATTTGTGATGATGAGGTTGTGAATCAAAGCTTCTGTTTCTTGTTTATGTTCGATTCTGTTTGGTTTCGGAGAATGAGAGGATATGAATTTCGTGATTTGTTCAAGTCACTGTGTATTGATCATTACTGCTTTGATATTATAATCGATAGAGAAATTCTTCCGTTTCACTCGGATTAGTGGTATGTGATGGTGAAGATATGATTCGATTTTTTTTTTTTCTTGTTCTTGTTGTTGTGTTGTATGTCTGTCCTCTTTTCTGTTACCGAATTTCATTCCGCCGCTTGTTTGTTCTCTCCATTTGTGCGCATCACTGATGGTACGTGCTAATTTGGGTTTAAATTTTTAATCTGTCCAATGTTTTCCATTATTAATTGGAGGAAGAAATATGTGACTGTGTAACCTTATTCTTGCAAGACGAGAATTCTCTAGGTTAATATTTTCCTCTGCTTGCATCCAATGACTAAATTTTGTGCTGGATCGTGTTGCAATTGCTAGTTGGCTTCGCTGTTTGATTTGTATTTCAGACCGCGAGATTTATAAATGACTCTTATGAGTTAGAATAGAAACCTTTTATCTGACATTTATTCAAACCTGGGAAGCTGTTATCTGTTCTTTAGATGCATTGACTGTATTTTATGGAATTGGATGACTCGTACATTCTTATTCCATGTTTTCTACTTGATGACCTTGGGCTTTTATTCAGTTATATCAATGTCAAATAGGTATTTAAATATAATCCATAAAAATATTGGATTAAACGTCTGTGATTCTCAATTTTAATTTCAGCCTTTAAGAGGAATTCTATCTGACTTGCTTCATATTCTGCAGTTTGATTAAAGTCACCTGGGAATGCTGAAACATGTGTATGCAAGTCGAGGCTTTCTTCTCTGATGTTGATGAGGTTATTCAACCATCGTGGATGCCTTGTTACGTGCTTCATGAAATTGGTTATTTAATTCGTCAACCATACAGCTCGGGATGCCAAATGGCCACGGCAGCTTTCAATGCAAGAGAACCTGTATTCAAGCACAGGGATGATAAAGATGGTTGAGTTTATGTTTAAATATTACTTGACTGATTCTTCTGTCCAGTGGCAGTAGCTGTTACTATTTTTTTTTTTAGTTAAGTATACGTTTGTCATGGAGAACAAAGGGGCTATCTTGATGCAACGTTATGAATTAGGAAGGCTTCTGGGGCAGGGAACTTTTGCCAAGGTTTACCATGCTAGGGACATTAAAACTGGTGTGAGTGTGGCTATTAAAGTTATCGACAAGGAGAAGATCTTGAAGGTTGGGATGATCGATCAAATCAAGAGGGAGATCTCTGTCATGAGATTAATTAAGCATCCCAACGTAGTTGAGCTTTATGAGGTTATGGCAACCAAAACTAAAATTTACTTTGTCATGGAATATGTCAAAGGTGGTGAGCTATTCAACAAGGTATCCAAAGGAAAGCTTAAAGAAGCTGTTGCACGGAAATATTTTTGGCAGCTGATCAGTGCTGTCGATTATTGCCACAGTAGAGGAATATGCCATCGAGATTTGAAACCGGAAAACTTACTGTTGGATGAACATGGTAACTTGAAGGTTTCTGATTTTGGGTTGAGTGCTCTTGCCGAATCTAAACGCCAAGATGGATTGCTCCATACTACCTGTGGAACCCCTGCTTATGTTGCTCCAGAAGTCATTAACAGGAGAGGTTATGATGGATGCAAAGCTGATATTTGGTCATGTGGAGTGATTTTATTCGTTCTATTGGCTGGTTATCTCCCATTCCATGATTCTAATCTAATGGAGATGTATAAGAAGATTGGGAAAGGAGAATTTAAATTCCCCAACTGGTTTGCCCCAGAGGTGCGCAAGCTGTTGTCAAAGATTTTGGATCCTAACCCAAATACCAGGATTACTATTGCCAAAATAATGGGGAGTTCTTGGTTAAGGAGGGAGAGTGTGAAACCAAAAATTAATACCGAGGACGTGAAAGAAGTAGCTCCTTTGGACGTTGATGCAATTTTTGTGTCTACGACCGATGACAGGGATTCTGTCAGAGAGCTGAAGCAAGAAGTGGGAAAGCCATTGAATATGAACGCGTTCGACATAATCTCCTTGTCATCAGGTTTCGATTTGTCAGGATTGTTCGAGGATACTAGTCAAAAGAAAGAAGTAAGATTCACATCGAACGAGTCTGCATCCACCATCATCTCTAAACTTCAAGACATTGCAAAGTGCCTGAAACTGAAAATCAAGAAGAAAGACAAAGGCGTACTGAAGATCGAAGGGTGCAAGGAAGGTCGAAAAGGAGCTGTATGTATTGATGCAGAGATTTTCGAGGTCATCCCATCATTCCATATTGTCGAAATGAAGAAGTCAAACGGAGATACTCTTGAATATCACAAGTTAATGAAAAACGATATAAGACCCGCCCTGAAGGACATTGTCTGGACCTGGCAAGGCGAGCAGCAACAGAGACAGCTACCAGAAGCAGAACAACAATGTCGAGAAGAAACGCAACAACAGTCTTCTACCGATCAAGGACTGTTGGAGGCTTCTCCTTAGAGTATGAGGTACTATACTCACCCCTATCTTTTATATATTATTACATATCGGAAGCTTGTAGCATAACATTTTGTAATGAATGCTTATTTGTTTGTTGATATTATGTCACAAGGCTTATTTATAAGTTACTTTCTCCATATTTTTTAATTGACTACGACTGGTAGAATGATCTCTGTTCACAAGAGTAAAACCATAGGGTCCATATCATAAGCTTCTATGGAAACGTTTGTGTTTGGCTATCAAATTCTATTCACAGCCATAAAATGCTTTAGCTTAGCATATACACTTGACTAGGATATGCCACTTTTGTGTCTATTTATAGATTCTTCTTCACAAATATTGACTACTTGTAACTGTCACTGACTGCATAATAATTACTTCATCATGTGCATACCCACATGCCACTATTTTGGGCAAACCACACAATTGATGGTATATTGGAAGTTCTTAACCCATGGGACCATCGTATGTCACCGCTATTTGATTATTGTAAAAAATCCACGAGATTTTAACGCCAACTTTAAAGTAAGTCAATTCCATTCAAATCTATATTCTATATATCAATGATAATGATAATAGTTATGTTTTTTTTATTGTATGTTTGTTTCATCATGGTTTTCACTTTCTTAGACCAACATTTGAACTTATAATATAATTCATAATTCAGTCTAATTAAACTCTCTATTTTCTTTTCTTGGGTTGAGTGGACTTGTCTTGTTTTTGTTTTCATTATTTTAAATTGGTTACATTTAATAATTAAAATTTTATAAAACTTAAATATTAGATAGTCACAAGTTACAAATGCGTCACTAACATCGATTACACGTCAAATATTATGAATTTTCGTACTTAAAAGGTAAAAGTTATTCTTAATTGTCTTAACACTTGCAATTGATTGAATCGGTTCTGGTCTTCGCTGAAAAAGTGAGGCTTTCGTATTGGGACATTAGGAGACCGTCCTATTATCCACTTTTAGAACCGAAGTGCATGTTTTTTGGGTTGAATCTCATGGCAACCTTTTTTTAAGTTCCATCGAGGGACAAAAGGGTAATTTTGGGTAATCTTTAAAGCTTGGGAGAGGTAATCTTGAAGCCAAATTTAATGAACATAAATACTTTATTAAGTTTTTAAATATGAACTTAGTTTAGTAAGTTACTAAGGACGAAAAAAAAATGTTGATTAAAATTAAAATATCATTTGTTTTGAGACAATAATTGAAAATAAATAATAAGAATTGAGAGGTGGTGAAAATTTAAAAGGATTAAAAATAAATGGAGAAGTGGTGGGCCACCACCACCCCTCCCCAAAGTTCAAATACTCCCGCCAACCTCCAAATGCGCACTAATTTCGACTTTCTTCATTCTCAACTATAAATAAAAACATAGCCCTAACCTTTCATCTTCTTCCTTACACCCGTCGATCCCCTTCCGCCCTTTACTGTTCATTTCTTTCTCCGGCGACCTTCAGCGCCTTCTCTCTCTCTCTCTCTCTCTCCACTGTATGCAGTGGCGTCTTCTTTGAATGGCTATCTAACTGTGATTTTGTTGCACTCAACCACGACCTGCAAGCGTCGTCTTCCTCCTGACAACAGCCACAAACGTGAACGGTGAGTTGAGTTCTAACCTCTAAACATTGTTCTAGGAAGTTGGTATTTATTCATGGAAGTGGATTTTGGATTGAGGATTCTAGGTTTTTGATTGAGTAGTTTCTACATCATTGCCAAATCACAAAATCTGGTTTAAATATGCTTTCAATATCGAAAATTGATTGAAAGTATGATGTGATTTGAGAAGTTATTGAAATTATTTTGTACGTTTTTAATTTTTAATTTTTATTTTTATTTTATTATTTTTTTTTTTTTGCTAAAAGGAAGCTTGTGACTATTTTGAATGAATTTTCAAAATGCTTTGATTGATTCCGAATTGAAAGTAACTATGTTTTAGTTTTGTCATGTATTAAAATTATTTAGAAGTTCGAATGTTTTGATTCGATGAATTGTTTTGTGGATTCAAAATTTTGTTTTATTGAAGGTATTGAAAGCTTTGTTCAGTCCACTTGAAAGTCTTGTTTTATTTGAAGTATTGTTCTAGTCTATTCGAAAATTGTATTTTTTTTTTTTAAATCTATTTGAATTTGTTTTGTAAGTCTAAGTGATGGATTTGCTTTGGCATTCTGGCGTTGGACTTCGAAAGATGTTTTCTAGTATTTGATAATTTATCTTAGAAATCGTTTGTAATAAATTGCTTTCATCCAACAGTGCATTTTCTGCATTATTGTTTAATCTTCCTTTACAACTCGATTTTTCTCTCAGCCCTGTCTCTGCATAAGACCTCTTCGACAAAATTCCTTAGGTTCTTCTTGTAAAGATGTATGTTGTGAAGAGAGATGGGTGTCAGGAAGCGGTGCATTTTGACAAGATTGTTTCCCGTTTGAAGAAACTTAGTTATGGCCTTAGCGTCGACCACTGTTGCCCGGTTCTGGTTTCCCAAAAAGTCTGTGCCGGTGTTTACAAGGGCGTCACCACTAGCCAGCTTGATGAATTGGCCGCCGAAACCGCTGCTGCTATGACCACCAATCATCCTGACTATGCTTCCGTGAGTTCTCACTTGTATCTTCATCTATTTTGCTATCTGGGGTCTTCTTGTTTTGTATGATCTTAGTTTTTCCAACTAACCTTTTGGTTTCTTCCGTTCGTTTTTATCCCCATCTGAGAATTTTTCCACGTTTTGAATTACTTTTACTTTCTGTTTCTCAATTTGTTTATGATATCTTTTGGGTCTTGTACATCTGGGTCTAATTATCTGTGGTTCTAGATACTTACTAATTACATAACTGGCCTTCTTTTATGGGATAACAATTTCTTCACGATTATAAGTAACTGATAATTGGAGGCAAGGGAATGCGTCTTGATTTGCTAATTTTTTTCCTTGTTTGTTTAACCCAGTTGGCTGCAAGAATTGCTGTTTCAAATCTGCACAAGAACATGAAAAAGTTATTCTCAGAGACGTAAGTTTGGCATATGCTCATACCAGTCTTGATGATGCATTTCAGTATGGAAATAAAATTGTTTATTACTCTATAATTGACTTGAAACTAATTTTTGACTTGTAATGGTGTTCAGTATCAGAGACATGTACAACCATGTCAGTGAAAGATCAGGACGAAAGGCTTCTTTCATAGCTGATGATGTTTATGAAGTAATCATGAAGGTGATCTTTTATTCTTTCTTGAATATTATTTTCCTTTGATGATTAATAGTTTTATAATGAAATTCTTGTGTGGATTTATTGATTGGTTATGAACTTTTTTTTTCTTTTGTCTTATTTGATTCATTTGATCCTTGCAAGAGGTTTGAAAACTTACCACACTATGTCTCAACGTTGCTGGTGGGAAAGACAGCTGTTCTAGTTTGTATTGTCTTGATTTTGTACGTTGCTGGTGATTTTTTGTTGATCAAATTTTAAGTTGCAAATGTGTGCACTTGAGCTTTTGTATTTCTGTCAGGTGAGTGCTAATCTGCCTCATACTGCTTGTTTAATGGAACTCTCTTTCTTTTGTTGCTCTTTTCCAGAATGCCGCTCGTTTGGATAGTGAGATTGTATAAGAGCGTGGCTTCAATTATGATTTCTTTGGTTTCAAAACTTTGGAAAGGTCATACCTCTTGAAGGTTCAGGACAAGGTTGTGGAGAGGCCTCAACACATGTTAATGAGGGTTGCTGTTGGTATTCACAAGGATGATATTGATTCTGCTATTAAAACTTGCCACACTATGTCTCAACGTTGGTTCACTCATGCTTCTCCCACTCTTTTTAATTCGGAACACCAAGGCCTCAAGTAAGTTTTGAGTTAGTTGATATCTATTTCTAAATAATGTTGATTATAGTAGTAGTTGTTTTTATCTTTTTATTTTAACAATTTGAAAACTTGGCTTGATTTTCATGGGTTTGCTCGTTGCATGACAGCTTAGCAGCTGTTTCCTCATATGCATGAAGAATGATAGTATTGAAGGTATATATGATACCTTAAAAGAGTGCGCTGTCATTAGCAAATCAGCTGGTGGCATTGGTGTTTCCATCCACAATATTCGTGCCATGGGCAGTTATATTCGAGGAACAAATGGGACATCTAATGGGATTGTGCCTATGTTGCGGGTTTTCAATGATACTGCTCGATATGTGGATCAAGGAGGAGGCAAGAGGAAAGGTAATGTGCTTATTGGATCCCTTTAAGTTTTCTATGATCAATATTTGCGTTTCTCACATTATAACTTCCACTTGCAGGTGCTTTTGCTGTATACTTAGAGCCATGGCATGCTGATATATTTGAGTTTTTGGATCTTAGGAAAAATCATGGAAAAGTAATTACTATATGCTGATTTATTTACTGGAAATTGTGCTACATTGTATTCCGTTGATTCTGAAATGAGTATTCAAATTTTAGCTATACAGTTTTTATATGTAAGTGCTAAATGTTTGCAACTGTTTTTTCACATAGGAGGAGCATCGTGCTCGAGATCTTTTTTTTGCACTTTGGGTTCCTGATCTGTTCATGAAAAGAGTCCAAAGTAATGGAGAATGGTCATTATTTTGTCCGAATGAGGCCCCAGGCTTGGCTGATTGTTGGGGCGAGGAATTTGAGAAGCTATACATTGGATATGAGCAGCAGGTAAATACATTTTAATTTTCATGGAGTTGATTTTGCAGCCAACTTTTTTCTGCTCTAAACATTGGATACTCTCTTGTCTTGATTATGATATTGTGTTATTTGTAGGGAAAAGCCAGGAAGGTTGTCAAGGCACAGAATCTTTGGTTTGAAATCTTAAAATCTCAGATTGAAACTGGAATCCCTTACATGCTATTCAAGGTATTAAACCACCGTGCTTTGTTAATAGCTATCAAACTTGTTTGTTGTGTAACTTATTTTATTTGCTTTTTCTCGCAATCTCTAGGATACTTGTAACAGGAAAAGCAACCAACAGAATCTTGGGACCATTAAATCCTCTAATTTATGTACAGAGATTATTGAATATTCAAGCCCAACAGAGACAGCTGTGTGTAATCTTTCCTCAATTGCTCTACCCCGTTTTGTCAGAGAGAAGGTGGGCTACACCAAACACCTGTTCTTTTCTGCAGCATAA